CCGTGGATTGGTCAATTTGGACCAATCAGCCTGGTCATAGCTCTGGGCGTGGCTACTGGGTATCCCTACGTAGCGATACCCAGGAAGAAAACAATGGAAAAAGAGAAATCTCCAACGAGGCGTTCTGGGGCGGGGAGGTCTTTCCTGTGTTAGAGTTTTACTCGCTACAGGGTGCACTTTGAGGGTTTTGACTCTGCAGACCGTTTACATGCATAACAACCTTCATAACACACAAGGGGACGGGTAATAACCGGAAAAGCATGACATAGGACCTTTAAGCAGGTTAAGCTAAGGAGGAAGTGGGCCAAAAAGGTGGCAAATAATGAGAGATGAGAGCATTGAGCAAAATCAGACAAACCATCTTGACGGGTAGTAAACTAGCTGTAAGTATATGAAGATGAAATGCTATATACTTGGCGTGGGAAGTGATGATGCTCGAGAGCATACAGTGTTTAATGACTGAATATAAGTTGCTAATGCTAATGAGTTCTGTGTTTCATATCTGTGTGTTGAGGAAATTAGCATAAAGACATACATCTGGGAATAAACAGATAGCCTGGCTCCTTACTGTATGTGAATGCAAGTGAAGTTATTACTGACGATAACATGGACTGTAACTGACAATGAGTCGATCACAAAAGTGGAAAGGTGGAAATATGAAAGAAAGACAAACAGCATTTGTCTATATCTCTATGGCACAGAACCTAATCTGAGTAGCCTGCTTGTCCCGGTGGCTTTATTTCTTCTCTTTCTAAATGAACTGTCATTCTGTCCGTGCGATGCTCAGGAGTTACTGAAGCGCCCTTCAACAAATCACTGACCTCCCCATCAGGTATTCAGGTGCTGCCCCTCAGCTCAGCATTGACTCAACCACACACAGACATTTGTTTGTGCTACAGGCAAATGTAAAAAAAAAGCCGGGATCCAATTACCTCGTGTAACATTGCTCATAAAGTTATCTGCCTCTACAGTGTGAAGGTGGGCGGTGCAGGAACGTGGGGACAAACAACAGATACCACTAATCCTCCAACACAAGTGCAAAAGTGTAACAAATGTGGGAATGAGGGTGCACGATAAGAGACGGAGAATGTTTAAATCCATGTATTTGCTGCTCATCATGTCAAATGTCATAAATACTGGCTGTTTACTCTCGTAGAAGCAACATCAATATCCATCAAAGAGTCCAGTGTTAATTTCGTCAACGAAAACTGTGACGAAAAATGTTTGTCAACTACCTTTTTTACATGACTAAGACGAGACGATGACGAGCTAAAAATACATTCTTGATAACGAAAACTATAAAGAAATGTATGTTTAGTTTTCGTTGACGAGACGGGACTAAGGTGTTAATGGTGGACTATCGGACATTCAAAATGCAGCATATTTTACCCCAAGTGTCCATCTTGTCTGTCAAAATGCATCTTACGTTTCTAACTTGCAATATCATTATTTCCGCTCTCTTCACTCCAGAAGAGCGATCTCCCTGTGTCTCTCTGTGTGCGGGGGCGGGGCCTAACAGACATGCTGCAGCGGACACAGAGATCTGCCGGGGACGGAGCGTTCAGAGAGTATAGAGACACATTTTGACTAAAATGTAATTTTTCATCGACTAAAACGTTTTGAGTTTTCGTCGACTAAAACTAGACTAAAACTACGAAGGATAGGAATGACTAAAATGTGACTAAAACTAATAACCATTTTCGTCTAAAGACTAAGACTAAATCAAAAACAGCAGCCAAAATGAACACTGACAGACACAGCTACAGTGTGTTAAAAGGAAGCACTCTATTGGCTTTTACTCTTAACTCACCTTCATGCCACAGGCCAGCTCCATCAGCTTCTTCGCGTTTTCCTCAGAGCGATATCTCTTCGGAACTGGGACACGAAAGAATTTGAGTGCACCCTCGAAGTCTGTTTGGATCAGATCGTCTTTAGATGTCTGAGGAAAATAAGGATAGGAACACAGGAGTTAAAGAAAACGCTTACAGAACATGGCTCAGCCTGTTGGATGTTTTTTTACTTCTTTGTAACATGAAGCAAAATTATCCTCACTTAAAGACAAATATATGATAAATAACGGGCCGTTGGTCAACTAGCTTTAGTCTACAAACCAGAATAAGATATAAGTTGATATATCTTACAATGGGGGGATACTACACATGTAACTGCACCTGCTAACATGTGCAGATGTGAAAATTAACTTTTGGCACATGCTCTGCCTTTCTTTTTCTTCTCAGAGCTGTGGTTGACAGAGCTGCTGTGTGTGTGTGTGTGTGTGTGTGTGTGTGTGTGTGTGTGTGTGTGTGTGTGTGTGTGTGTGTGTGTGTGTTCAATTTGTGTAAGCTTACCTTCAGAAGTGCCAAGGCTACATTAAAGATCACACTGATGCCCTGAAAAAAAAAAGACAATTGTCATGGTTTGTTCAGGAATTTAGTTACTTTTGCTTCAACAAAAAATATCATAAAACATGGGTTTAACAGTTGCAGAATATATGTGCAAAATAATGCATAATGTATAGGATTTCTGTGTAATGATATATTTAGAAATGATATTCGCCATCAATGGAAACATAAAACTAATGACGAAAGCAGATTCATTAAAATAAAAAGAGAAAAATCTAAACAACATACAGCACGTAATACCACTTATTGTATTTCTTGCTGTTAATAATATTTATTTTCCAGCTTGGCCTTTTAAAATGTGCACTCTCTTACTCATCCTAAGAGAAGATTCATCAGCGCTGTCCGACTGTATGGGAAGTTGAAAAACTACAAACTTGGATTTGGCTGGCTAACTAAAAGACATCCAGAGAAAGTCCAGTTGCCTTGGCTTGGACCAGCATGCTGAAAGGTCAAACTTCCACTTAGTGTCACTGCACTTGGGTCTGTCCATCATATCTTATATTTTTGGAACACTCTCCGGTTTCCTGCTGTTGCGATGCATCGTTACAGAATCGTTACAGCCTCATTGCACGCTTCATTAATCAGAATATTAATGGAGCGTGGTCTTCTCTAGATCTAGAGCTTTACATTCAGGCCAATAAAACAGCCTTGTCTCATCAGTCAGAGTACTCTCAGAGGCCATCGAGTGGATACACTTTTTACTGAGTTTGGCCTCATTGCAAGCTCTGCAAGAAGAGTGTTCATTGTTCCAAACTTCTGATGTTATTATTATTGTTAGCAGAAGATATCTCGAGTTTCATCACAATACAATATTATACTGATTTGTTGGTGACCAATATGTTATTTGCTGATATCACAAAGTCTGATTCTGATTCAATTCAACTCATAAGGAGGTGAGCTACTGACTCAGAATTACCATGTGAATTGTAAAGGTGATCTTAAAGATGATGATATGTGTTTATGTTTTCAGTTTGCGACTGACGATCATTCATTCAACAACAATTCAGATCTGTCAGATGTTAAACCCCTAATTTAATAATTATTGAATTGACTCCTGAAGGCTTTTATCCCTCAAATGTTCTAGAGTTAATAAATGACATATAACTGCTAGTTCATATTGTATGTAGCATCTGTGAATTGCAGCCTTGAAAGTTGTGTCTTTGTATTACCAACCTCACACAGTAGCAGGTCGATGATATGGAAGACCATGTAAAGAGGGAACTTGGCTGTGAAGAGGGTGAGGAACCACTGAGAGGCGTACATGTGAGCCTCCAGACCCACATTCAGGAAGTGGTTGTACAGGTCTGGTAAATATTCCTGTTTAAGACAGAGAGGAAGCAATGAGGAGGGAGAAGATAAATGAAGGGACAGGGGCAAAGAGAGTTAGACAAAAAAGAAAAAGGAGTGAGGTACATCAACCAATTCCATGATATGCATTCATAAAAAAGCATTTCAAATATCCAAATAACACACACATACCTGCATGAGTCTCTCAAGCTGGAAGAACTTGCAATGCAGATCTTCAAAGTTCTGTTTGAAAAGGTCCCTGAGCCCGTAGTCAAACATGATCTTGACCAGCACACTGAACGCTTGCTCCTCTGGCATCTGAAGAAGAAGATAAACATATTTAGTAATAAGTACCTCATGCCAATGTATATACTTATTTTTTTAAATGAGGCTAATACAGCATTTTCCTTATATTTCAGCTTTCCCATATAACACGAGCTGAAGTTGTTCAATGACTAATTAAAAAGTTGTTTAATAATAACATCTGCCCTGGTACATCAGCTTCAAAAAGACATGTTCTCAGTCTGTCCACTAAGTGGCATTGTTGCCTTTTTCTGAACTGCAGGAGTCTTTTAGGGAAGCCACTCTAGCTTGGCAGATAAACACATATTATACATTATTCATTAATGACATTATTCTTTAAAATGTCAGTTCCCACAGACACACAGTAACAATACATCATGCTTATCAATTCTGACAAGACATGCAGAATAAGCCAGACTGATGCCTCCAGCATTGCAGAATGTCAAAAAGACACAGATGTAAAATGAACAGAACATAGTCCCTCACAGCTATTTAAAGAGGATTGAATGAATATGATTTGAGCTGGACCCGACTGATATGTGAACTCACGTGCAGCAGCAGCACAGCAGCCAGGAAGGACTGTCCCTGGCAGTAGCCGATTTCCTCGTCGTACACAGAGTAAGCCTGAAGGAGAGGACAGAGGTGTAAAGTTAAATCACAGGAGAAGATTGAGGGGAAAGAAAAGAAAACCTGCTGTATAATAGATGTTAGACCAAATGTTGCCGTCAGCTTGCAAATGAAGCATGGAGCTGATTCTTATCTAACATTTATACAGGCGCATTAAACCGTTTTTATGAATTTAACACTGAATCAAATGATGAAATGTAATGAGAATGAAAAGATGAAGAGCCTCAATAAAAACGTTGTGGGTAATTTAAACAAAAATAACAATTATTTTCTTTGGAGATGGCAAGCCAGCCCAGGGCAAGTTCAGTATAGGTGAATACTTGTTTTTGACTGACAGTGAGAGAGATGGCTCAAGCTACATTGAAGCTTTATACAGTTTTAAAATGAACAGAAACAAATAAACAGAGGATGAGAAATAAAAAAATAACAATGGTTTTCCACCCAAGCATCAGATCAGTAACTTGGTTTGAATATGACATGTTTTGCTTCACAGCAGACTTGCACTTGAATATTATTGTAAAAGCTGATTTAGAGTAATATCTAGTTGTTTTGATTCCCTTTTAACAATCTAAAATTGTTGAACACTGGCACTGAATGCTATATCACCCTATGTGCAGTGCCCTAGACCAGTGCTTCTCAAAGTGTGGTCAGCGGACCACTGGTGGTCCGTGAGCGCCCCCTAGTGGTCCGTGAGTATATTGGTAACATTTCACATTTGAAATAAATAAATACATAAGTTTTCCGCACTCTCGCGGGAATATCTCCACAATGGGGCGAGCTTTTCAGGCGATTTGTAATCTGTTCTAGAAAAACAATGTGTTTTTTTTATATTTGTGGAGTTAGGTGGTAGTTAAGTGTGTGTGTCATCCTTGGTATGAAAAAGTTTGAGAAACACTGCCCTAGACATACATAGGTGAAGGATCTGAAGGGATGTACAAAAAAACTGAAAAGATAACCATGACTCTGTTAAAAAGACAAATAGAAATGAAAAGAATAAGAGAGGGAAAGGGAAGAGTTGCAGAGCGATATTAGTCTAGAGGAAATAGAGGACATTTGAGGGGAGGGAGCAAGGAAGAGAGCTTGTAAAAAAAGGCTGTAGTGGCCTACTGAGCTACAAACGCAAAAAAAAGAGAGCGAGTGAAAGTGTGGATCAATCCACACGCAGGGGGAAGGGAGGGCCCGCTGAATTATTCACACACACCTGAGGAGGTACTTGTCTGGGAAAGAGATTGATGCCCTCACATGATTTATACATAATGAATGAAATGAGAAGTGCGAAGAAAGGCCGTTCATTTAGGATTGTGAAACTATAGGTTTAAATGTGTGTGTGCATTTGTTAACGTGAGACAGAAAGCACCGGCACTTTACGATCAATAAGTCTTTTGTGACAAAATGCCAGGTTTCTGTTTATTTGTGTGTGCTCTGCTCAGCTGTGCAGCAAGATTGATGTCAGTAAAGTCTAGTGTGGATGTGTGTGTGTGTGTGTGTGTGTGTGTGTGTGTGTGTGTGTGTGTGTGTGTGTGTGTGTGTGTGTGTGTGTGTGTGTGTGTGTGTGTGTGTGTGTGTGTGTGTGTGTGTGTGTGTGTGTGTGTGTGTGTGTGTGTGTGTGTGTGTGTGTGTGTGTGTGTGTGTGTGTGTGTGTGTGTGTGTGTGTGTGTGTTTTCTTCAAAAATGTGTTTCATTTCTAGACGAGCATTGGCTGTTTTGAACTCGCTGAGCCCAGAGACCCAGTGGCTGTTCAGTAAATCCATTAAGAGTTTTCCTTGAGCTCTGACAACGCTCACTACTGCTTTGCAAACTTTGTCTTCAGAATGTAAAACAAGACATTTAGATGACATGACACGGTTTCCAGGGGAACATTTGATTCTATTTAAGATCAAGATTGCTATAATTGGTTATAGCAATCAACTCTAGTGCTATTAAAAAAGGCCAATTATTAGTAATCATGGCCACAATTTTTATAACACATTTCCCGCCAAAAAAACATTTATCAGAGGTTGTACAGATATGTATGTATGTATAGTTTGTCACTATGATGGATTGGGTTCAAGACATGTTATTTATGCTGTTATTACTGGCTGGTTTTTGTTTTTAATATTTTACAGATGTATTTTGAGTTGCACTTCTGTATTGTGAGTGTTTCACAAAATGACTTACTTTAATCTTAAATAGATGATTGTCTAAGTCAACTTTCAGAAAAGACTGATATTAAAATGTAGCCATTTGAATCTAAATGGAAATGCAGTCAATGTGGATCAGAGTGAAGTTCAGAGGAAGGGAACACAGTCAGATGTAGCTCTTGGTGAGTCTTTTAGCATAGCTTTGATCTACATTTATACTATATTTCTATCCATACTTGCCCTGTGATGACTTAACAAAAATATAGGAAATATCCCACTCGAGTTTATGTGACCCACCTTGCAGATCTTGTAGAGGGAGTCTTGTCCATCTCCTCCAGTGTCTTTGAAGTAGTCGTGAGCTGGGAATGTCCTGTTGATGTCCCTGGTGATGGCACTGTCCTGGGGGGACTCCTAACAATGACACAAGGGAGATTGGGGTGTCACAGATAGGGAGATTCAGCTACAAAAGAATCCACAGCTACTGTGACAAATATTCCATAGAGGCCCAGCAGTGGTCAGTGTTCCTTAGTGTGTGCTGGCAACACATTGTAAGGATTTATCGTCTGAGTCGAGATGAATTACTAGTGGCACAGGGTGTTCTCTCCTACAGTACAGACTGTACTTCACCTCTCCCTGTATCTCTATGTGTCATTTCTGTCCTTTTTTAGTTCTAATGGTTATCAATTTAAAACATGAAATGAACGTTTTATGTTGCCAAAGCCAAGATAAAGTCGAAGAAAGATAAAGGAGCGCTGAGAAGCTGTCTAAAAATAACATTAAAGGGAAACTAATCAATGACATAATATTGCACAAATGCAGCAAGCTGTTATTTATCACCTTTATTCAGCATACACATTTTCTGTGCGTGGGACAAAGATTCGGTTGACTTTTTTCAGAAAAAACTGGATGAGCCCTAATGCACATCACTATTTGCACTCAGTTCTGGGAACATCTCTGAAACCGTTCCCCTTATATCAACATGGTCTTTTGATGGAAAAATAACCAGAGCTATCTGAACCATAACTTATGGGATCAAATGTTTTGTTTTGCTATCCATGTGTACTAAGATCCTGTGCCTTATCAGCTAGCATGGCTACATACATACGTCAGGATATATTGATACAAGTGCAGAGATGTGACCCTGTCTTCATACAGAACATACACAAGCCTGAGGCAATGTACTGTATATCTATGGGATAGCCCTCCACTCTGATGAAACATCACAACAAAGTGGAATAACCACCAAAACAGATCAGTGAATCCTCTACTAGCTGAGATCAATCATCCATAATTCCATCAGTGATGCTCAGTGTATTTGAAGCATCTGAAAACGACTGCAAGACACCGTGGCCATTAAATGACAAATTAAATACACGTATAAAGATGGCAGTATTTGGATGTGAAGTGGCTCATGCAGACAAAAAAGGGGCATACATTTCAATTTAAAAAGGCAAACATCCGTAATGGCATTCTTAGGAGCCTGGTGCAGTGACCCAACTCTTATACCATTGGTGAATATATACAGCTAGAATAAGGGTTTTTATTTAATCAGTGAAAATAATGCATCGCCAAGTTAACTTTAAATGACTAAATGAATGTGGTTTTCCATTGATTCATGTAGGAACATTGCATACTACACTTTGGGATGTAAGAAAGTACCGGGACTTTTAAGCAAAGCATTCAGTGCCTTACTTAAAGGCCTTTAAATAGACAGACATTAACCATTATCCCCTGCAGGGTCCTAAGAAAATATATTTTGTTTACAGCTAATTATGCTTTCTGCGTCTCACTGTTTGTGTACTCATCAAGTCCCTCCCTCTTTTTTCCAAGGTTTGTGTTCCAGGTTCCACAGAGGAAGAGTGAAACAAAAATAATGCAAGTATAAAGAAATGCAGGAAGAAAGGAATAGAAAAACAAAGTGAGCTAATGGGGATCAGAGACCGACAACAGAGGGCTATTTTATAAGTCCACTCCACCACACCCTGCATAGTTTGTGTGTGTGTGTGTGTGTGTGTGTGTGTGTGTGTGTGTGTGTGTGTGTGTGTGTGTGTGTGTGTGTGTGTGTGTGTGTGTGTGTATGTGTGTGTGGTATTTTGCTGTACATTAAGACTTACTAAAACAATTTCTAATTTACTACAGCTGACATTATGAGTTGATTAATCGATTAGTTGATCAACGGGCAATTAACCAAAACCATCAAAAACAATGAGAAATGTTACTTGTACTGCGTCCAGTGTGAAGAGCTGCTCGTTACTCTGGGCCAAAGTCTCTCAGTAATGATAAGGATCCATGTTTAAACAAGCACCACTTAGCCATACTTATCTGAAGTGCTGAGAGCATGTACAAAGACCTCTGGCATAATAGCCAATTAGCTTCCCTTCTGTCTGTCTGTTCATTCAGTTAAAGCGAGGTTTGGTAGAGGGTAGCGTGAGAGGGCACAGAAAACATATCCACTGTATAGGAAGTGTGACAGAAAACTCCAGCTATTACGAGAAAGAGAGAATGGAAGAAGATAAGTATCTCTGAGGAAATGTATATCAGAATCAAAATAAGAAAACCTTTATTAGTCCCATTAGGAAATGTATAAAGAACACAGTTTATGACAGAGATAATAACATACATATGAATTAAGCTTTAAGTTATATTCAAACACCTGAAAATGAAGTATAGGCAGTTTATGTTTGTCATTGTTTTTCAGCTTTAGAAAATGTAGTCTGTGACCGGAGATTACATTTTAGAAAGAGGATGTTTCTATTGTCTGTACTAAAAATCATTTCATACGGGGAAAGCTTGATACAATGGTGGGAAAAATAGCTATTCCTACACTACGAAGTAAAACAAGAAGACAGACTTGTCAAATGGAGAGTCTGACATGAATTATTTAATGTCATCCCATTAAAGGAATATGCCTAAAGTTAAAGTTATATTTTTTAATTAATGTTGATATTACAATACAAGACTTAATGGTTATTGCGGTGAAGAGAGATTTCATGCTGAGCCCCAAGCTATCTGTCTAAAAAAAGTTCCTTCTATTTTCATTATATTCAACCTAAAATATGGTGGCAGATACGCTAGCCCAAAAACAAACTAACCTAATAAACTATTTTGATGCGTCAAAGCACGGTTTACTGTTAATGATACGTAACTGTCAAGAGTAGTACAGCAGCGAAATCAAAGAACACCTATAAACTGATTGCAGGTCAAGGAACAAAAAATGGTCTTCTTACAGAGATACAATAAGAAAGTAGTCTTTACTGTGGGGGAATCCAAAAATGGCAGAGCAAGTGTGGGTGCGTTAGCGTGTGTGTGTTTCTAAAGCTAGGAATAAAGTACCGGAGCAGGGCTTCCGTGGGAAGGCTGAGTAGCTAGCCCTCCATTGTTTATGTCCCTGATTTTCTCTGACTCAACACAATAGCTGACATGTCATTCTGTTATTCTTACTTTGCTCCTAAAGGACCCCGCTGAGATGCCAAGAGAACACGGGGTGATATTTATCAAGCTCGATACAAACCTCCCCAACACACCAGCCTGAGTGATGTACTTTGATTATATCACTTAATTCAACCTTAAATTATAGAAGAAATAGCGAATGTGACTAATGCTTTGTAATTAATAATTAAGAACAGCCTTGCCAGATGGTGTTACCAAAAACAATTTTGAGCTCTTATTTTAGTAAAGAAAGTACAAATTATATTAATTCAGTAATTTCTTCAGTCTGTCCTCGAGAATAATTTGCAACGGACAGAGCTCCAGCTACCCGTAGAGCCGCTCTTTACCTAAACGTCATCTATCATTAAATCTTAATCGTCTGTCTCATGCCCTACTTTTTGAGCCATTTGCGAGCTGGTATGCTGCTCCGTCACAAGGAGAGCATGCAGAATATGTTCCTGATCAGGACAGGGCTCACAGAGAGGAAGACGTAATGTACATTTTAATGACAACAGCACATGCTACACACAATGACACAAATACAATGGCCTGCATTCTCTCATGGCAGTACTTTCCAATGCAGGTCACTAACAGTTCCCACAGCAGCTTCGTCAGCACACAAATTCAGCATAAAAACCGCCTGCACAAATATGGTGCTGCTATGATACAGTTACTGCAGGTTAACATTGAAACAATTTATTCTTATCTGTACCGATACAGAAAAATCTTTTGGAAATAATTGGAAATTCTGGGTAAATGCAGTGCTTTTGTGAAGAACAACACTACTTGATCTTCAGCCAGCTGTGTTTAGCCAAGCATTCCCCCTCACTAAATATAACTGTGCAAAAGCATGTTTGTTAACGTACTTCAGTCGAGGTTACTTATGGCAATTCACCTGAGGGAGGGTAGAGAATCTGATAAAAGAAAATGGCGCCTAATACCTGTGTTCGTAGCAAGAGGAAAAAGTAAGTTTGAATACATTGACATAACATTACATTTATTTTCTCAGTACAGATACACAATATGTACATCTTTAATATAGACATTTTTTCACAGAGACAGCAACATATAACCTTTGCGTTACCCAAACATTCTCCAACTATAAAAAGCATACATTTTACAAAAACCTTACAAATTCAACCCTCCTGATGCATGAAACATGACATGGTTTATCATCTAACAGAGTAATGGCTTAACTTTCTCAATCTGAAATGTACAAAAGCCCCATTGTTGTGGGCATTACCAGTGTGGAGGAAAAACACATGCAGAGGGACATTTCTGCATCTTTTGGATATTTCCAGAACAGGATTTTGTTACAGTGGTCAGTTTGTCTTAATGTGATAAAAATCTGTTACATAGAACAGCTGGGTCATGAGTCAGACTTTAGTGGGGGGTAATCTGTGGCCTATTTAGAGCCTTACAAAAACACAAAGAAAAAAATGTCCAATACTAATTTAAAAATAAGATAAGAAAATACAGTTTTGTGGGAATATGTGTGTTAAAGTGCACTATAAGAGTGAGACTGTGGATGGTCTAAGATACAATAACCAACTAGCATTCAGTTGGTTTAAATCACTGTGTTGGTAATTAAATAAGAACAACATGTTCTTGATACAAATGTGCACCTCAAATCGGATTTCATAGTGCTTGTTCCTCAGACGGATGCACATCTGGGTAGCCTGAGTGGAACTGCAACTAAAGCTGTTTGCAAACCGATACGATGCCAGAAGAGGAAGATTAAGAAGCAGCAGCAATCCTCAAACTTTTAAAGGGCCTAAAATCAAAATAAACAACAGTGCATAATATAAGGACTCTGAAAAAACAATAATGGATAATTATATTTAAACTTTCAAACCTGAAAAAACCCTATCTGCAGATGGTGTTCATGTTATCTACTGAGTATCACTGATAATCGTTAGTACGCACTCACTCATAATTGCTCCCTATCTTGACTATTTTCTCTATTTAATCTCTAATCCTACCCAACATTGCACTGCAACTTGACACAGCCATTACCAGAGTGTTGTTCCCGTGAGAGCCGATTGTTTTCCCACAGGAGAAAGGGAATGTGTGTGTGTGAAGGCTAATGCTGCATGTTCTGGCACAAATGTTTCTCGAGACCCTTTGCCCTACATCTTGCACATTTCTTGGGTATTGTACCATTAACAGCTGTGGGAAATTATACATCTTTAGTGGTGAACCTCATATTCAAAGTAATCTGTTTGTACAATAGTTCAACATCTCAGTAGAAATTGTCCAAGTAAAATAAAGTGTATCTACATAAAGACACAGCTTCAATTATTATAACAATACTCTACTAAACCTACTCCACAACATCCGCATGTTCGACCTCAATTTTACAAAAATTAATTTCTGTAGTTTCACAATCAAGACATTCAATACGCCATTTCTGTACATGTTTTTTTGCACACGCCTTTTCTGAACAAAAGTGATAAGAATAATTACAATACGTAGCAATGCTTCACAGGTGACAGCCATAACATTTACAGTAAAGACAACATGTGGATTTATCGACATTTTACTTACATAAACTCACAAAATACAGTATACTGCAGGAAAGTGAGGGAAGCTTTTTAAGCAGGGGAACTCTGTTAGCACCCTTGCTTAAACACTGTTAACAGTCCACTTCAGCCATTGGTCGCATTTAGCACACATGCACACGCAGTCATACTGTACAGAAAAAGGCACACACAAAAAAATAAATTAAAATGCACACAAAATGAAAAGTGTTTTTTTTTTTTTAAGTTTACAGAAGAAACAATGATTGTAAAGATTTTTTTTAAAAGGGCAGCTGGTGTTACAATGAATATTTAAAAATGACTTTAATTTTACACAGCCAATGGTGGTCATGCTATTTTTTACTGAGCGTGGAAACGAGGCTGGCTAATGTATATTTTCATTTAGTTTCCAAGGACATTTCTAAGAACAGTTGCACGTCTACATATTAAGCCCTCCGAAGAAATAAGGAAAAAACGTTCCCTGGTTATTTCGTTTGTGTATCAAGGCAACAATATATCAATTTATACTGAGAAAGTGCACGCAAGGCGTCACTGAGCCAACACAGTGCAGTGGACCTAAATTTGTGTACAAAGAAAAACGTTTATTCTACTAAATTCAGATATCATCCTAGAGTATCTGTCAAAATGTCTTTGGTAGATTACATAACATGGATTAAATTGGATTATCTGCACCTAAATAAACTGTGACATGAGTCTCCATGGTTCAAAGTAGAGATCATTTTTCACAATTGTATGACACAGTATGTACAGATAAGAATGAGAACCACGCACAACATTTCACATGGGGACAAGGGATAAACACACATGGACACACATAGACACTTGTGTACACACGCACACACACACACACACACACACACACTACTGAACACCAGGGAGATGAGGGTCGGTTCATCTTCATGGTGCTGTACAGAGGTCAGAGTTTAACCACTGCTTGGCCCTCTGGCAGAGTGAATGGACCGTTTGTCTGTTCTGTTTACATTTGAATCGCCTGTGTTCGTGTGCGGGAAAATTATTCACCCAGACACAATGCAGCACAACACATCTGGAGCACTGCCAGCCATTTGGTTAGATGCAACTTCAAATAGAACAAAACTGAGCAGCCAGATTAGTTCTTCATCGTGCTTTCAGCGCTAAGGTTTGATAGATGCAGAAACTATTATAATGGCTAACTGGGGATGCTAAGTTAGATCTAGTTGTATTTATGCAAAACCTTTGGGGGATTACAACAACTAGATTTTCTTTTAAAAAGCCACTAAAACAGAATGTAATGAATCTCACATGGATTACATTTTGGTTATTGTTGTTGTGGAATCTTTTTGATTCAATTAATGAGGAAAGACAAATTAAAACTGACAACGACTTGACGTATTAATTAAAGGATGAATTCACTGGAAATATAACTTTTTGACAACTGAACAGCAGTATAAACTGGGTAGCAGGGTAAAGACAGACTATCAGAACACTCTGAAATATTATCTTATTCAAGTTGAAGGATAGATGTCATGAAGTTGCCATAATCAGTTTAGAAAATGACACATGCACAGGGTCTAGACCTCCGTACTTTCTATTCATTTTTTTTCGACTGACTAGGCTCAGCCCTTCAGTCAACAAGACACAAAACAAAACCACGTTACACAGACACACTGTTGGACTACTTTTTGTGTATAGATACTGAGGGTTAGAGAGCATGTACAAAAATATTTCAGGGGCTTGCTATTGGCAGTTCACCTCAGGACATCACTTAAAAAAACACAGCAGTCAACTGTTTCTATGTTTGCATTCATCTCTTTTTTTTGCATTTAACATACTGTGCTACTTATTGGGTTACACATAGAGCTTTTCAGCAAACCTTTCTTGCAAAGTTTTTGGCAAAAATAAGTTAAGGATTCACTTCCCGTAAAAGAAAATGTTCAACCTCAAAATAGTTTGTTCTCCATTGGTTTTAGACAGATTTGTCTCTTCCTTTCCAACCCCTTCCATCCATAACCTCTGTCCATACACAGTACAGCATACTGGGTTTTCTTGGCCATTTTAAAAACACCTTGCAAGGCTATTAAGGCCTTTTCTACTTCAGTGCTCTGCTCTCGACTCCCTTTCTTTGTGTTTGCCAGCTGTGGCGTGCACAGAAAGGATGCCTGCGTAACCTCCAAATGCCACAGAAACATCAGTGGCAGATCAACGCCTCCTTTCATCGTTTCACTCCACTTTAAGCTTAAAGAAGAGACATTTTACAGCAATCACATCGTTCAAAAGTTCAAATGCCAACACTCAGGCTTCCTCTCGGTGTGCCCTACACATGACATGTTGTGCCGATACTTATTTCCCCATGACCGTATCCATACCCGGGAACTCCACATCCCTTTTCTACAGAACCCACAAAAGCTTTTTTGGTGTTCCCAGTCCCAAAGCCACGACCACTGCCGTGTAAACAGAAGGAGCAGAGGCGTTTGAGGCCCTTCCGGAAAGCAGAGTTGGAGAGGCTGTAGATGAGACAGTTACAGAAGCTGTTGCTGATGGCAAGCCATGTGGTTAGGAATGAGGCTGCAGGGTGGTGGTAGATCCCAGCACTCTCCAACAGAAAGTAGAGGATGTAGGGCAACCAGAGGATGTAAAACACGCTGGTAATGCGGAACAGTACCATAGCGTATCGCTTGTCCGGGTATGTTGATGTGGGCTGCTGATACTGGGGCTGGGATTTGTCTGGTTCAGACAATTGTGGCAAGTGCCCTACTTCGTTGTTGTCTTTGACCGCAGATCCAACAGTCAGTCCTGGACCCTGCAGCTGTTGGGGTCGGTAACGTGCGTGGCGCTCGCTGATCTCTCGGGTGTGCTGTCGGCAGATCTTGAAGATGTTGGCGTAGGTGAAGCAAACGGTGAGGGCAGCCGGGGCGTAGAGCAGTGCAACGATAAAGGTGGTGAAAGCCGGGCTAGTCTTCCACTCAACTGCGCACCACTCCACCACGTCACCATGGTATCCGGGCTTCCCCCACCCGAGAAAAGACGGGAGAAACACCAGAGCAGAGTACAACCATATCAGCACGATGCAGCATCGCACTCGACACGGTGTCACGAGAGACGCGTAAGTCAGAGGTCGTGTGATGGCGACGTAGCGGTCTACACTCACACACGCTAACGACACCATTGAAACCGATTTCAAAACAGACACCATGTAGCCAAACACCTGGCAGGTGAGTTCGGGGTCGAGGCCTTGGAGGTGATGGAGCAGGGACAGGGAGGGGTACAGGCAGCTGACCCCCACCAGCAGGTCAGCGTATGCCATGGTCTGGATGAAAGCACTAGTGGTGTGCTGGCTAAGCAAGGGTGCACAGTGAAACACAAAAATCACCACAAGGTTACCACATATAATAAGAACAGTGAGCAAACATATGATAGAGACTTCAAGGAGGCAGACGGTGAAAATGTGGGAATAGCCTATCTCCAGCAGGCAGAAGGGAGCAGATAAGTTTGACGGGTCAGTAGAGCTTTGGTTCAGTGGATCATGGGAGTAATTCATCATCTTGGGCAGGAATACGTTGCTGAGGGGCCCTTTAAGGGTGGGATGAACCAAAGAACCCTCTATAACTAAGGTAGCCAGCTGATGCTGAGGGCAGCAGAGTGATTTCAGTCCATACAAAAAGCTCCATGCTGCGATTCCATAAAGACACTGATGCCATCTGCCATTTCTAATGCAGGAGGGATGAAAAAGGACGGGAAAAGGTGAAGCAGCCCCTGGGCTTGTCCTTGGTGGTTTTATACAAAGATACAGAAATCACCAGCGAAAAACAGATGAACGCACAAAAACAAACATGTGTATTCCTTCTTTTCTTGGTAGAGCAGACTTCCCAGCTGAAGGCATAAAAAGGAAAATGTCTAGGACGAAATGTGACTTTGTTTAAAGGAATTCCAGTCTGCGCTCGAAATGCCTCCGCTCCCTATAAAGTCAAGGATGTCCTCAACATCTGCTGCAGCTGCAGAAGCACAGATTGAAGCTCTCTCTTATCTGTCTTTAGTCCACAGAATCACAGCTTCCAGTGAGAACACATTGTTGCGTAATGTTCAGCGTAAAGGAATTGAGGATAAAAGATATTTAGCATGATATGTCCTTTTTATGCTGTCCTCCTGCTCCTTCTTCCTGTTTCCTCTTGCCTCTCCTTTACCTTCTTTTCAGCACTCTTCCATGTCCGCTTGTTCTTGTCTCAGTTTCTGTCTGGTCCTCTTGCAGTAAGATCACAGCAGAATGCCGTGAGCTGAGAGGATGAAGGCTGTGTGCGGGGTGACTGATGTTTAAAATACGCACACACACACATACAAACACACCTCAGCTGTTTTTTCTATCCGGAGGACCAGGAACTATGTCTGGACTGGAAATGAGGAAGGCAGGCATACCGATGCTTGAAACCCCCCCGTGTTCATCTATCCTCCTTTGCTGCCTCTCTCACTCTTTCTCATTCCCTCTGCCTCTCTCTACAGAAACAGTGGCACTGAGGCCCCTCCCTTTCCCTGTGGCTCTAACCAATGATCAACTGCAAGGGCACGAGGCTTGCCTCCTTCCCCCACCCTCTCACCCATCCCTGTTTTTCTTTTTAATGCCAGTGTCTCTCATAATCAGGATTCAAACATGCGGTGTCACACTGTTCAAATAAGCAACATTCAGTGTAAACCTAGCTGTCCACAGACTCATTCCCAGAGGACAGGACATTTTGAGCTGTAAGAATGGACATTGTCTTTCTATAGTGCAAAAAAAGCATTGTATTTGTTTTCCAGGGAAACAATAACTAGATGTCTGGGTTCAGCTTACAGGAAATATTTCTATTATTAATCTAATTGTAAACCAAGGATATACAGTACAGGACAGTGTGTCCCACTGTCGCTTTGCATTTTGGCAGCAGCATGTTGACCATGACACACACAGTATGTGCTTAATGTTGCGCAAAGGTTAAATAAACGTCATATTTAACAGCTAATCTTTCAACTTCTTGTGAGAGAATCCATCAAGATGTTTGCTCTGGTTTTCGAATTAATCCATTCTTATTTTTGTAATCTACTGATAATAACAATACATAATAAAGAGACTTGAGAGACAGATGAAAAAATGTGAAAGCACAGAGCAAATAATTCAATTTGTGCCCACAGACCGTGTTTAATTAGCAGATGATTCAATAACGCAGATAGTAATTATTCAATTAGTTACTGGGTTTGCCTTCTAGGTTCAAACTGCAAACCAAGGAGCAGTTTAAAGGAGCAGTTTGAAGGAGCAGTTTAAAGGCGTAGTTCGATGGAGAAAGTTTAGCAACCTTTAGATAAGTCACACAAATATAGTGATGTTAATATTAACACTTTCTAAGGCCACTTTAAGTATAACTTACGGAATGCATTGCTTTAAATATGAACATATTTTTAAAACTAGAGAAGAAAAACTAAGATTAAATACAAAGATAAGATAAAATAAAAAATAAACCATATAAGATTGCTCGGGTAAAAAACGCCACTGCGTAATAAATATGATATTGCCAAGGTGCACTCGTCTAGTTCCAGTTAAGCGTAAACATTATTACTGTAAAATTGTACATATTGCTTTCCCTGCATTACGTAAATATGATTAAGCATATTCTTACAAACGTGTCTACTTTTATTACTTATATAATGTATAACTGTACACATGCTCTAGTTTCCTCTAGGGCTTTTTCAGATGTGTTTTTCTGTTTAACTTTGCAACTCCATGTTAATACAACTGCACGCAAACTTAAAATATACAAATCAAACTGACAACTACTTGATTTCTCACAAAAGTATTCTTATGGTTGGACCAGAGCCAATGTGCTATCAGTAATAAAAGAACAGGCAAGATCCAAATATTCTCAGATTGCATTTATACAAGAATGTTTGCAAGAGTGTGTGCGTGTGTGTGTGTGTGTGTGTGTGTGTGTGTGTGTGTGTGTGTGTGTGTGTGTGTGTGTGTGTGTGTGTGTGTGTGTGTGTGTGTGTGTGTGTCCTTCTGTCTATTTGGCCTGAGAGCCTTTAACAGATATGCACCTGCTCCTGATTTTGCACGCATCAGCAGATGCTGTGCCTCCACTTATCGAGAGAGTTGTTTCCACTAAGCCAGTCATACCACCGTAGCATGACCTCATCAGACATCTTTTAATCTCTCTTCCAGAAACATCAACAACTAGCTTTTCATTGCAGGTCTGTAAAGGGCTCTGTTGAACAATTCTTATTCAATTCCCTTAAAAAGGTTACGCTAGGAAGTTGCCCTCAGCCCTTCTGTAAAGAGCTTACTGAATATGTGCTGGAATAAGCACCAACTGGGTTATTTTTAGATCATATGATGTGCTGATTAAATAGAATTACTCAGAATCCTGTGTTAAAATAAGAAACTTAAGTGTATGGTAATCTCTTCCAGATTTAGTGCTGCTACATCCTCATCCTAATGGCTTCCTGAAGACAGCAGTGCGTCTCGAGCAGGGCAATTTGGTGCAGCGTGATGGACACACACACACACACACACACACACACACACACACACACACACACACACACACACACACACACACACACACACACACACACACACACACACACACACACACACACACACACACACACACACACACACACACACACACACACACCAGCCTGCACCTTCCTCCCTGCATCCAAACACAATCCCATGCTTTCACGCACCTCCTCAGCCCATCACACGTGGAGTTAAAAATAGATGACAGTACCACGGAAAGCTTGGAGGAAGAGGAGGATAGGAGAAAGGGACGAGGAAGGGCCTGAAAGCTAACATAAAGCCAATCAAAGGTGAAAAGAGGAAAAGGAGGAGAGAGAAAAATACAAGAATAAATCAGCGAAAATAAAAGGAAGCTGTGAGAAGGAGGAGGAATGGAGATGCTCTGTCACCTGCATGCCAGGCTGAGCACATCTGAGTCCTGTTTACAGTAGCCGACACAAACTTGGCAACAACAGAAATGAAAAACATTTGCTGTTCTGTAAACAAAGGTAAACACCATTAAAAGAATAACTGCCTGACTGCTACCTGATTAACTTAGCATCCAACATCACGTTCCTTATAATCCTGATTTTGTTGTTTATATCAATATAATAAAAGGAAGTCAGTGTGATATAACATAAACAAATATGGAATGAAGTTGGTGACGTATCTTATCTGAGAATTGCCTGATAGGAATAGAAATGTAAAGAATGTCAAAGAAATGGAGTGCTAATTAACTATCATTGATATCTGAGGATTAGTGTTTATCTCTGTGGTCTATACTGTGAGCCTGGGGCTAGGAAATGAATGCCAACATCATGTAAGGGTGGGGATGACAGTTGTTGCATAATCGCAGACGAAAAACATTCCTCTAATAAGATGCCAGCATGTTGACATTCAAAATGATTCTTCCTTCTGGCATTCACTGTAATTTCTAATTTGGGAAACCGGCTTCAACCTAGGATACAAAATCATCTAAAAGAATTTCCATTTTAGCCGAAAACCAATGCACACATAAACCTATGGGACAGAGAGACAGACAGGCACACAAAGAACAAGCTGACACATCAAAATGAAAAGACAAGACAGGAGAGGGGCTAGAAAGAGGCAAGCAGACAAAACACAACATGAACAAGCAGATGATACACACAAGTGGACAGGAGCACAAACAGGTCTAGGTAGAAGTCAGAGTGAGGCGAACACAAATACTAACGGTAATAAAGACAGACAGATAGACAGGGGGGCAGGCATACAGGTCATGTTGTGGGTCAGACAGAGACAGGCAGACAGATAGATAGATAGATATGAGCATTTGTTTTGCTCTCTACATGACGCTGGCGAAGCAGTTCAGGGGCTGAGGCCTGTGTTTATCTCATCACGTTTGTGTCTACACTTATTTGTATGTGTGTATGCTCTAATACACACATCTTTAGAGACATTACAGTCTGCCCAGCTGCAGGTAAGATACCTTTGAATGTGATGCAGTAAGTAACCTTATAACACAACACCATCATCAAGCATATAGAAGCTCTTCTCTTTTTCAATCACGATATCTATTAATAAAATAAAGTGCACAACTCTTAAATAAATCTATAGTTGATAATCGATTACAATTTAAAGTAATTATAAATGCAAAAATAACAGGAAATAGAGAATTCCTGATTGTATCTGTTTTATATCATTTGACACTGTATTATTAGACTAAGAAGAAACAGTGATGGACATTTTTCCCTTTTTTTTGAAATTCTATGGATCAAAAGGTTGTTGTGCAGGATTACATATTTAAGAACAATGGTTACCAACAAAAAAAAGTTGGTAACCATCTCAACATACACAGAAATATACATTACAAACCCACATTTCTTCAGCCCTTTTACACCGTCCTACTATTGCCACTTAACTACAATTTAGTCAAATACTGTAACACTCACACAGTGTCTATTCCTCTGAGCATTATTCAACACTTTACTGGTAAATAAGATTATGCTGATATAAAATGCTGACTGTTGCTATAACATGGTGGGCATCGGCCAACCAGAAAATGTTTTGCCTGCCGTTGTGTCACGTTGCTTTTAAAACGAACATTATTCGTTTAACAGACTTAGTACGCCTGTATACTCAGTTTATCTGATGGGGCTGATGCCAAATCTGGACTGGTACTTCCCGTATGCACCAGCAGGGACCCTCATACCAAATAATTAGGGGTCCACCGGGAAAGGATCGGTTAAATGTCCATCAATGCCCTGCATTCAGATGTGTGGGTGAACACCAAGTCCAGACAGGGATAGGGCACAAAAGAGGGCTAGGACATGATGTGCATGCAGTGCAATACCACACAAAGACACACACACACACACACACACACACACACACACACACACACACACACACACACACACACACACACAGTGGAGGCTGAATACAGAAAGCACGCAAAACTAATTAGGAGCTGGCACATGAGTATGGTATGTGTGCACATCTTTAAAACAGCGCTGAGAAGAGCACATGAGAAGATAAGCCTTCCTACCAGGAACAATACCAACGTTAATGAATTTAATTATTTCCTAATTAACACTCATAATGTTGAGAGTACAATTATGTAATGTGTTTCAATACTCTATTCAACATGTTTAATGGTTTGTATAAAGTCTTTTTGTGTCTTAGTTCTATTTGATCAATACACATTTCACGCTGTGCATTCCTCATTGTGCTGAATTAGATGAATCCTCTTGCTGTCCTTTAACTGTTCTTGGCTACCTTTGCCACTGTCTTGCTCAGCGGAGACTAAATAGACACGCAAATCTGTCTGTCAGAGGCAGATAAAGCTGCACGGGTTACACTTCTCTCTGTGTGTTGGTTGGCTGAAACCTGGAGTGCTTTACTGCTTCTGCAATGAATTCCTATCCAACTTTCTGTCCAATGGTTGCTATCAATACAGTGGCATTGTGATCCATTGTTATTGTTTCCATGAATTGTTGAGTGAAAGTTGAGATTCCCTACATACTCTCCATGTTCATAACGTGGCTCCTACGCTATTTTGATTTCAACTTCAATTTGAGTTGATTTTATTGTCTTTTTTTAAACTTTTGATATCAAAATGTTTCCAAGATCACATGCCAGAGAGATGTAAAGCAAAAAAAAAAAAGAGGAGGCGAAAGCAGAGAAAGGAAAAGAGCAAGAGAGTAAAGGAAATGGGAGGGAAAAATGGTCACAGAGGGTGAAGAAAAAGAGTGGGGGAGAAGAGCAGAGGGGAGGAGAAGGGAGGAAAGGGCAAGACCAACATCTTGTCACCACCTGGGACCCAGCTAGCTGCCCGGGGATGTTGCCTTTACATAACAACAGTGGACAAAGCTGCAGCGAGAAGAAAAAAATGACATAGACCAACACACTGTTCCCAGCACGCAGGGCGGGGGGGAAACCATCAAAACACATGGCCGCACAGAGAGACCTACACAGGCACTCAGTAATGAAACTGAAACAGCAACAAACTGAAACACTAGTTGTTATTTCTGACCAAACACACAGACACAGGTCTGCAGAAAAGAACAATAGGCAGAGGTTCTCCACTTTAGAATAGAATTCACTGTAGTTTACCATATGTTACCATATATTCATTGTCCTAAGTGTTTTACTTTTTTAGCCTTTAAGGTTCTTTGTATATTTTAAGATTAATTTGGTGTAAGTAATTGTCTTTATTGTTCTTTTTTAATGCTAAATATGTTCTTCAATTTTAATTTCTTAGATTGTTTATGTTCGCACAACCAGAGCCCAAAGCAAATTCCTTGTATGTGTAAACGTACCTGGCAATAAACTTGATTCTAAGGTAATAAGAAGGCCAAGCAGCTGTGACAAAGCTGAAAATAACCCCATATGAAGTGAATCATAAATAATAATCAAAACAATTATGATGACATTGTGTTTAGCAAAAAAAAGCACGTTTTTGAAATCTTTTTAAATCAAACCTCATGAAATATGACTCAAGGTTTCTCTTAGAGTGTGTGTCTCTTCCACAAAAGTATTGAGTATTTGTAACAAGTTGAGGATTACGAGTTTTAAAAGTAACATTTATACACAAGAAATGTGTCCTTGCATAAACCTTTGACTTGCATAACGCCCAAGGTCATCAGCTGGCATGACCTGACAGTGGCTAGCATCACAAGTGTATAGCACATGAGAGATAAACTCATGAAACCGGGCCATCAGGGGGCCCTGAGGTGCACTTTTAAAAAGCACAGAGGACAAAAACAGAAACACATGTGCTCCTCCCAGCACAAAACAACACAAACAAGAAATTAAGACAAGTCCAACCTATAAAAGCTTTACAAATCTATCTCAGTGATGGCTTCTGCGTTGACCAATTTGAAATGATCAAAAAGTGCGCACCTCGCTCTGATGCATCCTTAAATGATGGGAGCTGGTGTATGAGTCATCATCTCGAAGGACAGTTTACACCAACATTAGGGGATCATGGGACTTTAGTATGTCGCGACCATCTTAACAAAGACAATACTTTTGCGTGGTCTTACCTTTGTGATGAGAGTGCGGTACTCTTCAACCTGGTGGTCATTATTATGGCAGCCTGCCAGGAGCTGCCACACCTCCCCACGGAGCGCCTCAGGGATGCCGCTCCGCACCAAAGCTGGCAGCTGCCTGGGACGCACTGATAAGTTCAAATGCCTAAAAGAGAAAAGAGGAGAGGAGAGAGGAACCATTGTTTTTCAAATGATACACATTGTATGTCACAGGCTGCAATGTTTGTGGGCACACCTGCTTATCAAATCTACCAAAAACAAAGTGGTCAATGACCCTTCATTTCGACAAAATGGACAATAATCATCTCCACGGGTGTCCTGCTGGATTGTATCACCTAAAACGACATGTATAAGGATTTACAGGCATAGAGGTCTTTCAAAAGTTATTCCCTACTTCCCACCAGGGGATGTTATCAATCAAACACTCAAACGGCACTGTTTTAAAATGTGCTATTTTTGACTGAAACAATGTGATGTGTCAAAAATCCTTTCTCAACTTTATTACCCCACATTTTTTTCTCTGACACTTCTACATTAGTTTTGCACTATTTTTAGCAAGAAGGGAAAACAATAGACAATAGAAGACAATAAGCAATTAGAGAATTACAGCAACAAAACACAGAGGCACAATTTGATGCCTTCCTTCCTCATCTTCACATTGAAATGCCGAATCTGTTGGCAAAACACTCCATCTCAGAGATTGATTCATACCGTGTGCAAATTAAAATGTACTCAAGTATCTGCCATGAAGAGGAGGCACAGTATCTAACTTACATCTCTCTCCTGACTTGAGTGGACAGAAATCCCCTGAATCCCTGATTATTCTTTCACTTTCCCCGCCTTTCTTGTTTTATCTCTCTATTTTCTGAGTTTGCTTGGTTTATTTGTTTCCGAGCGCCAGGTTATGCAATACGTGGCATTTTGTCTTGGGACTAGGAAAGGGAACAAAAGTATACTGTGTACGTGGGTGTGCTTGCATGTGTGTGTGAGTGCATGTGACGTAAGTAATGCCAGGCCTGGTCCTTAGGGGCATAAGATTGTAAAGGGCTTTCTGTGATTTGCCTCTCTGTGCTCCCTGAGCGCTGCATCCCACAATGCCACAGCACACACTCTGGCTCACACAAACTAAGTCACCAATCACTTGCATAAAGCCTGGTATTATGAAAGGATAGTCTTATGATTCCTATTTCTATGTACTGTAGGTATTATGTTTTTTCAGAGAACTGAGACAAATAGTCCCATTTCAACTTTGGGCTTCATCAAACAACATTGTAAACACCTTCATAATTTGTATGAAAAATATGTTATTATTAATAAGTATAATTACATTGAAGATACCATTGTTTCTGGCAGTTTTACTTCAGTTCAACCCAAGTATTTGACTATAAAATAAATGCAGAAATGGAAGAGGGTAGTCATCTTAATACGCTGCTAATCAAGGACTCCTTCGAGCTGCTCCCTCTATCACATAAGGGAAACCAAGCATACAAAAATAAATGTGTGTCTGTGTGCAATCAATAGAAGAGGAAGAACAACAATTTCAAGTGAACAAAGTCTTACCACTTTGTTAACAAGTCCCCCCAGGTCTCCAGTATTTTCTCTGCACACTCCTTGGAGACGTCACCTGAGCCGCTGAGTAACGGCTCATCATTATCTGGAAAACACAGGAAGTACAGACAGGAAGAGACATCCATTATTCTCCTTTTAAATTCTTACATGTTTATATTTGTCCTTTTACTTTTCCAAATGTGATACAATTAACCAGAGTGGATGCATGTGACATTGAATAATTAAGGTAATAAGGACTTCATTCAGAGAGATTTGTTTAATCAGTCACACACAAGATGATTGGTAAATGTACGAAATCCACTTATTTGAAAATGTGTAATTCAATTTGTATATCACAGGCTGGGTTTCTGATTGGAAGTTGTGTAATCATGTATCTTTTGTTTGATCTGAGCTTCAGCTATAATAACATTCATCTTGAAAAACAGCTCCCTTTATTAACCATGTTTTATCTGCTTAACCACATGCATACCTAAGTGTGGGATTGTATATCCTATGGACATTTTAGGGGCTCTTATTTCAAATGTTCCTAGTCTGCTGAAGAGGGTATTTATTAGGGGACTATTTATACTGTATATACGCTGGTATTCATTTCAATAATAACAACAACAGGCGTGGAGCATTCAATGGACATGCCGTCCACATAGAGAGCTCAAACTGTACCAAGCAGCCAACCGATAAGAACGGATACCAAAAAGACCTCAATTATGTTCTCTGTCTCCCACAATCACCCACACACACACACACACACACACACACACACACACACACACACACACACACACACACACACACACACACACACACACACACACACACACACACACACACACAGATCAAGACTTCCACTGATTTGAGCATGACCTTATCTGCTGCCATGCTGTCTTTGTGCGCACATCAACAAGCATGTGTGCAAAATGCAGCTGAGTGTTGGGCCTTTGACAGTAGGAAACCGATTACATGGCAAACCAAAGATTTATTAGTAGAGTTTAATGGAATAGAGATGAGTGGATGGAGGATTTAAATAAATTAACCTTCAGTAAATTCCCAGAGGCCCAGGGGAATGACAGAAGGGGGCTGAGGAGGAATTTTCTCCTTGTCACCGATGTAATGAATACTGATGACATGATTCTGGCCCGAATATACTCTGTTCTTGTTCAACCCTATATGTAAACATGATCTTGTGTGGATGCAAAAAAGATGCCTAATGTTTAATAGAAGATTGCAAATATATTAAATTAACATCTCAGGATGGTATGTAGCGTTTTTCAGTATAGCCGACATGTGTGCTGTTGTCTGTGTGTATGCATCATGGACTCAGAAAAAAGTATTAGGCAGTGTTCTGCAATAAGAGGTTTTAGTGAGGTGCGGCCATTATGAATTCACAAAAGGTTATTAAAAAGGCACAGTGGTGCTAAAGCTAAGAATAAATGAAGTCAATGGAAAACCGGCATGTAGTGTAAAATATCAAACAAAGTGAGCTTCTAAATGTACAAAAACAGTGGGGATGTGCTACCACTATTGTGAGTAGCCAAAAATGTTTGGTGTCTGCTTAATACAGAGCGTTAAAATGATAAGCTCTGAATAGGACACATAGTGATGTTTTGAAAGAGAAGCTTCATTTTTAAATGGCACTCTCTCAGCTGGAAATGTATCACATTTGAACAAAAACTATGTTCTCCTTTTTTCTCAGTAGGCATCATTAGGGGTTGTCAAAAAAAAGATTCTTCAGTACTGACTTGTTGCTGCAGTTCTGAAAACGTCACAGTGTTCATTTTTCTACTGTGCCCCAGGTACCGTCGCTGCTGTAGCATGTGATGAGAATGTTAGGTATGCAGTAACGTTACTTTATAGGCTTTCATTATATGCACCCTATTTTTACTTTGAGAAAGCTATATGGTGAACAACAAAACTCTGTTGAAACCCAGGAATGTTATCAGTTAGCAGCCTGTAGGCAGCACAGTCCTGACAATAACAGAGATGATAGATAATCATTACCTAATGATGCATTCAAACTCAATTCAGTAAAAAATACTATTGGGCAAAGGTAAATGATTAGATTTTGAAAAGAAACTTGAATAAGTTGTTTGGAGGAGAAGTGTTCAAACCAATAAAAAACATATATTAGAGAGGGTTTTATGAGCATTTAAATTCCTGCAAAAAAAGCAGTATACAAACCGCCATGCGACAATGTAGAATCACATGGTAATCTTTTTTTTTTTTTTACGGTTAAAAAATGTGGTATTATGAATCACATAGGCATCGAGAGCCATGGATTTTTACTGATATGCCCAACCACTAAATGTATGGTATTGCAACATACCTAGTTCATATTTTGATTAACCTTCTTTGGTGAGTTTATAAAAAATAATCATTCAAATTATCTTACTGCGTCAAACAATTAGATATCTATTTTAGGTTTTTACATCTCTGTTGGTAAGATCACTCCATTTTCTTGTCTTAATTGTGTTCAATATCTCAACACTAGAGAACGGTTAGTATTCTCTCTGATGAAAACAGTAGCTTTTCACCATTTCCTAGATCTCCCTATCCTCTTTACTTCTGCTAAAGCTGTACCAATGAGGCTGTTTCACACCAGCAATCTCATTCACACAGCTCCTGCTGTCTCAATAAATGGCCTGATACCATAAAATCTGCAACCGGCCTCTTTGTACACGAATGTTAACAAACAGCCTGCACAAAGAGCAATTTATAGAGAAGCAGGCAGAGTGTTTTCACTGTCTCCTTTAAACCCATTTTCTCCGAAAGGTGTCGATTTGATAAGTCGAAACCACTGGCATGGAAGATGTGTGGCTGCTTCATTGTTGCATGCAGAAGTGCATTTGGCCGAGTGTGATACAGACCCAACAAAGACAGTGTGTAGACATGTTTATGTATGCCTTTGTGCATTTGTGTGATTCAGTTTGCCTGGTTTCTTGCTCAAGTGTGTAGGACTTTGTGAATGAGAGCGACTGTGTGTGTAATGTCTCTCACAACCTAACTGTGTGCAGAACATACTGTAGAGCTGACAGCTGAAGCAGCTGAGATGTCCACTTTTTCTGCATTCAGATCTCAGAGTCAAACTGAACAACAGCAGCTGGTACAATTGCCAACAGAACCCTGTCACCACGGGTTACAGTGCCGCCATAGATACTCTGCTCTGCAATCCAATTCTTAAAGCCTTCATGACACTATGCTCTCTTTCAACATTGTTTTGTTTTCATCAAACATTAATTCGAAGCATTTCATTATTTTTTATAGTATTCTACATACAGTATACAGAAGACTGTTACAGCACCCAGGTGGCTGGTCATGGTTCATTGTAATCCCTCTTTCTTACCTGTTACTTATTTCCTGTCAGCTCCACACGTTCCTCGGTCTCCCATATCATTATTTTCACATATATCTTAACTGCATTCTCGATTACTTTTCGAGGAAATTATTCAAGATTGGGGTCATTTATGTAATAATTATATACACCTTTCAAATCCACAGCAGAGTCAGATTTTGAGTGGGCAGACTGAGAAAGTGTTGATAGATGTGCATGCACATGTCCTCATTGTTATTGGCAAGCAGTAACTAGCCTGCTGTGCTGAGATCAACTGGATGAAGGCTGTCCATATGTTTATGTTTGTACATCTGGAGCTGAAACGTCTGATTGATTCTGGGCGGCCGTAGCTCAGTCTTTAGAGACTTGACTTGTGAGTATGGAAAAGTACCAAACAGGAGGGGCCAGTTTGAGTCCTGGGCACTGTCGAAGTGCCCCTGAGCAAGAAAGCAGACCCCCACACTGCTCCCTGGGGCTTTTAACTTGAATATTCCAAAACTATATTTCCATTGAGGCAGTTTTGCTGCACCAGAGGGTCTTTGAAATCATAAATTCATGAAGCATTAGAGAAACTATTTCTCCCTAAGAACTCTATTTTAATCCTGATATGCAGTTATTATTTTTGCCAGATCATTACAGTGTATTTAAAGGTAGGGAAACATCTTGAGCAAGGCATCAAAGATAACAACAAGGTGTTTGTTCTTGTTAACTTCTTGCCACTGGACACATCTCCTCCCCTTATTGTTTCTACTGCTAAAAATACTCAGGCACCAAGTGAAAAGCCAGGTTAATATCCCTATGATGATGATTCAAGTGCCCAGTGTACCAAATCTGCATCTGCTAAGCCGAATCTGTCAGGCACCTTGTTTATCCATCTGCTGGGGTCATCTTTCACTCATCATATTCTGCTAGTTTTACGGCTAGCAGGTTTTACAGCCAAGTCTCAGCGACCTTCACTAATCTCCTTGGGCCATATAGTCCAGGCTATGAATAGATCAATGACTTGTTCTGCTGGTTGCCTTATCTCTCAGTAGCTCTTCGCTCCTATAGACTCTCAGAAGCCTCAGTTACATGGGCAAACCTCCAGATATTGGAACATACAGTAGCTTCTAGTGGTGGCAGGAAGCTAATATTGGAGCTATCACAGCGCTTGATGATACGAGAAATGTGTCATATACTGGAATGGTTGCACCCTGAACCCCCAGCTGTGACCGGGTGTGACTTACGGCGTCTTTGACGGATTCCATTTTTGTAAAAAGCATAACTGTCATTGNGCGTGCGTGCGTGCGTGCGTGTGTGTGTGTATGTGTGTGTGTATGTGTGGTTTTAAGAGATACACAGGAAGAGAGGTGAATTTAATGTGTAGAACTTGAATCAAGTTCTACACATTAAATTCACCTCTCTTCCTGTGTATCTCTTAAAACCACACATACACACACACATACACACACACACGCACGCACGCACGCACGCACGCACGCACGCACGCACGCACACACACACACACACCTGCGTCCTGACCTGTTTTCAACAGCCTGTCCTAGTTTAGAGGTACCTGACTTTGAAGGTAACTTTGGGCAGAGATATTTATTAGCTCAAACTCTGTAAAGGAGCCAGCATGGAGATCTGTTTGGCTTATTTCTCAGTTAGACAGGTGGGCAACAGAGAGAGATAACACAAGCAGATTATCCATCAAAAACATAGTGGAACTAAATCAGAGGCAACTGGACTCATTTTCGAAGCATCAGTTCTGAACATTAATCATTTTGGGCGGACGAGGCCTCTCAGATGGAAGCTCGTATATAAACATTTTTAT